TTCCTCGGGGGGGGGGGAGAGGGAGGAAGAGCTGCAAGGGAAGGGCTTCTGAACATGTGCAGAGTGCCTGGTGGGTCTGCAGGAGAGCAGAACTAAGGTTTCCCATCTGCCTCTCCTTGCGGTCCGAGGACAGGTGGTCCTCGGTTTACAATGGTTTCATTTAGGGACCAAAGTTGCCAGAACGGCACTGCAAAAAGCAACTTGGGATGGTTTCACACCTTGCGTCCTCCCCCGTCCCGCCCCCCCCCCCGCTCTAAATTCAGATGCTTGGAAACTTGATTTGTAGCTACGACGGTCGCTTTTGGGATCTTCCGGAAGTCAGATTTACTTAACAACCATGCTACTAACTTATCCCTGGCAGCGATTCGCTTAACGACCGCGGCAACTGGAGGCTTTCAAGAAGAGATTGGTCCCCTGCTTGGGCGGGGGTTGGACTAGATGACCCATAAGGTCCCTTTCCAAGTCTGTTATTAAGGTGGGTTGCAAAACCGGGGCAAAACTCACTCAGCCACCGTCTCGCTTAGCAACGGAAGTCAACGGGGAAGCCCGATTTCACTTCACAATCCTGTAAACTAAGTTAAAACAATTGTAAGTCATTCGCTTAACCATCGGGGGGGGGGGGGTTGTTGTAAAATGGGGAAAACTCACTTAACAACTGTCTCGCTTAGCAACGGTGGTCCTGAATGGCGGTCGTAATTGCAGGACTACCTGCAGATTGGCTTTTTTCTTTAAGTGGGGTGGGGGGGAAGCACTTGTTCCGTGCAACACTGAATGTGCCTTTGGGGGCTTGAACTCGCACCCGCTTTAATGGGAAACGTAGTGGATGTTGCATTAACTGGCTAAAGCACTCTGCACCCAGTGCTCCCTGGAGGCAAATGACATTTAATGCAGGAAAACACCTTTGAATGACCTTCCCTTTTCTCTTGGAACAGTGGGGAAATCTGGGTCTTCTGAATTCATCGGAACAGTAGTTTAAAACGCCCCCCTCCCTTCTTTTAATATTGCGCAAGTAAATCTTGGAAGGGAGAGAAACGGGGGTGAAAATGTTTGGGACCCTTGCATTTCAGAGAGCCCAAAGGGCATCTAATTTGAAGGCTGAGTTTACTTAAGGCTAGATTAGATTAGAATAGAATAAGAGAATGAATAGAAGAACTGAATAGAATAGAAGAACCGAAGAACGGAATAGAATGAATAACAATGAATGACAGGATAGAATGTATTTAAAATAGAATAGAATATAGAAAATAAATAAAAACTATGGAGAACAGAATAGAAGAATAGAGTAAGGGAATGAATAACAATGAATAAGAATAGAATATATATAAAATAGAATAAGATGTAGAAAATAAATATAAAATCTGGAGAACAGAATAGAATAACCGAATGAATAACAATGAATAACAGAATAGAATGTATTTAAAATAGACTAGAATATAGAAAATAAACTATGGAGAACAGAATAGAAGAATAGAATAAGGGAATGAATATCAAAGAATAAGAATAGAATGTATATAAATTAGAATATAGAAAATAAATAACCGAATGAATAACAGAACAGATGTATATAAAATAGAATAGAATATAGAAAATAAATATAAACTATAGAGAACAGAATAGAAGAATAGAGTAAGTGAATGAATATCAAAGAATAAGAATAGAATGTATATAAAATAGAATATAGAAAATAAATATAAACTACGGAGAACAGAAGAATAGAATAACAGAATGAATAACAGAATAGAATGTATATAAAATAGAATAGAATATAGAAAATAAATATAAAATATGGAGAATATAATACGGGAATGAATAACAATGAATAAGAATAGAATATATATAAAATAGAATAGAATGTAGAAAATAAATATAAAATATGGAGTACAGAAGAATAGAATAAGCGTATGAATATCAATGAATAACAATAGAATGTATTTAAAATAGAACAGAATATAGAAACTAAATATAAACTATGGAGAACAGAATAGAAGAATAGAATAAGGGAATGAATATCAAAGAATAAGAATAGAATGTATATGAAATAGAATATAGAAAATAAATATAAACTACGGAGAACAGAAGAATAGAATAACCGAATGAATAACAGAATAGAACAGATGTATATAAAATAGAATATAGAAAATAAATATATACGATGGAGAACAGAAGAACAGAATAAGCGAATGAATAAGAATAGAATGTATATAAAATAGAATAGAATATAGAAAATAAATATAAAATATGGAGTACAGAAGAATAGAATAAGCGAATGAATAACAATGTGTAAGAATAGAATATATATATTGAATAGAATGTAGAAAATAAATATAAAAAATGGAGAATAGAATAGAATAACAGAATGAAAATTAGAATAGAATAACAGTCGGAAGGGACTTTAGAGGTCTTCTAGTCTAGCTCCCTGCTCAAGCAGGAGACCCTATATACCATTTCAGACAAGTGCTGTCTAGTCTCTTCTTAAAAACCTCCAGTTATCTCCCACTTAGTGGGCCAGCCAGGGCCCCCCCCCCCCCGCCCCCCCCCCAAAAAAGCTTGGAGAGATGAAGGTTTTATCTCCGGGCGAAATTAAAATTTCAGATTTGCTTGACTGTAAAACTGGATGGAAAGAATCTAGGAAGAAAGCCAGAAAACTTTTAAGAGAGAATCCCAAAG